GCTTGCTTTCCACAAGTAATCAACACAGGCCAGGAGACGCAGGTAACCACAACCTGTGCCCCCAATGACCACCATCAAGGACACTTGCTTGCCACGGGCAGCAAGCATGGGCCTGGACAATCAGCCAGACACACTCATGTGTACCTGCGGCCATTTGGGGAGTTCCAGTGTAGCTGTGGAGGATGAGGAGAAGAAGCAGCCCCAACCCCATGTGCCTGTTTTCAGGAAGCTTTAGTGTAACTGCTTGGGTCTGGAGAAGCCCACCTGTACCCCCCCCCCACCTCCCTGGGAACCTTGGTTCAGAGAAACACAGGTACCTGGCCCATTCCACTACACCATGGATAGGCAGGCAATGCAGGAAGTGCTTAGGATCCCACAATTGGCTCATCCAGAGGAACCCAGGAAAATGTCAAGATGAAGGAGCAAATGGCAATCTCAGATCTCCAGGCCACACAGAACAAGTCTAGGAGACATAGACACAGAAGAAACTGGAAGCCATGCACCTGAAATTTCTGAAATGATAATAAATGAACTCAACAAACAACTTTATGAGGGTATAAAAGTAATCAGATCAGAAATATATCTCATGTAAAAGAAGAAATTACAACCATAATGAAAGAATTGCCAAGCATATCTACAGAGGACATAAATTTTTAAAAAGAGCATAGGAAAATGATGGAAGCCTTGAATGACCAATATAGGAAAGCACTAGAGTGCATGAAACAGATTCAAAGTGATATCCAGAAAATTTAAAACTCCATGGAAAGCTGGCAAAACCACTTGAATGAAACTGAATATATAGACTTTTTGACTTTCAGATATTGAAGACAGGATTGCAGTTAGTGACTATGAAAGGAAAGATGTCTTAAAAATAACAAGGTACCAAGAAATAATTCAATTACTGCAAGATGATGCAAAGAAAAATAATTTAGGATTGGTAGGCAAAAAAGCAAAAAATCAGGAGTTAACACAAATGGCATAAAAAGACTATTTACAGAAGTTATAATGGAAAACTTTCCAAGCATGGAAAAAAGACCTAACATATAGATAAGTGAGGCATGTAGAACTCCAATTATCCATAGCCAAATAAATCTATACCCAGACATATAATAATAATAATAAAGATCTCAGAAATTCAACACAAGAATAGAATGTTAAAAGCTGTTAGAGAAAAGAAAGTGATCATCTATAAAGGAAAACCCATCAGAATCATGGCAAACTTCTCAACACAAACCATCAAGTCAAGAAGAGCTTGAAGTATTTCAAGTCATAAAAGAAAACAACTTCCAACCCAGGTTGATGTATCCTGCAAAACTATCTTTCAAAATTAATGGAGAACTAAGGTACTTCCATGACAAAGAACAACTGCAGGAATTTGTGACCAACAAACCAACCCTACAAAGAGTACTGAAGGATATTATAAAGACACATAAAGATGACAGTTCCAGGAATAGCAGCAGAGTGGGACCGTCAAGCAGGGCTGGCAATTAAACAGAGGGGAAAAACGTAGGGAGCCAATAGCCAGAAAATAGCGTGGCAGAGATGGCCAATAAATGCCAGTTGTAACCATTCATGTAGATGGCCTCAATTCACTAATAAAAAGAAACACAGGCAGAGTGGATCAAGAAACAAGATCCATCAATATGCTGTACACAAGAAACATATTTAACTCAACAGGAAATTCATAGACTGAAAGTCAAAGAAGAGGAAAAATGTTCCATGTGACAGAAAACCAGAAAAAAAAAAGCAAGGATAATTTGCCCCTCAACCACAGAATGGATAAGAAAGATATAATATTCTTATACAATAGAAAGTTGCTCAGCTATAAAGAAGGATACTCTCAAGGCTCTTCTAGGTGAATGGATGCACCTGGAGACCATGTTCATGGATGAAATGGTTCAGATTCACATGGGTAAGCAGCATGTTGTCTCTCTAGTATAAAAACCTGAAGGAATTAGTGGGATCTAACATACAAAAGATACTGTGAAAGTGAAAGGAGAGGAAACGTCTGAAAAGGAAGGCGTAGCCAGATCACCCTCCCTGTGAGCTGGCAGAAGCCACACTGAGTGGGAGCAGCACATCGAGAAGTCACTTCATCCATCTGGCCAGCCACACAAACCATGCGGGGCTCAGGAACACAGAAGCCAGATGCTGGTTCTGGGAAGAGCAATCAAGAAGTCAGATCCTCGTCCTCAGGAGCTGACTGGCACATGCGCTGAAAATCAAGAATTCTCCTCCCTGCCCCCCATAAGCAACCAGCTGGTTTGGAGGACAGGCTGAGTTGATAGCCACCGAGATATAAAAACAACTAAATGCTGGTATTGTTTGATTCACTTTGCAGGCCTAAGGCTGGAAGTCTGAGCATCTGTTAGGAGGATAACAGAATGCAATATAGAAAATGTTGCATTCTTCTGCCTTGTTTTTGAAATCCTATATTGTTCTCACTGTTGTGTTTTGTTCTGATTTATTGTTTTGTTTTATTCAATGTTCTGTTTTGATCAGTTTTATTCTGTTTTGTTTTATTTGATTTTACTATGTCTGATGGACTGGACAACTATTGTGAAGATACAATATACTATGGTAGCCATTGTTGATTTCCTACTAGCCTGCTTCTAAGATCTGTACCATTTTCATTGCTTTTTTGGATTGGCTTTACTCTGTTTGGTTTGATCTTTTTTTTTTTTTTTTTTTATCGGTACCGGGGATCGAACTCACAACTGTCTTCTTGCAAGGCAGGTGCTTATGCCGCTGAGCTAAATCTCCAGCCCCGGATTTTATCTTTTTAAAATAAAAATAAAATAAAATAAAATAGAAAAGTGGTAGCCACTGTTATTTCTCCATTATCTTGTTTTGAAGTCCAGTGTCATTTTCATTGTTTTGTTTTATTGTCTTGTTTTGTTTGATTTTATTATTTTTGATTGTAAAGGCAGCTATTTTGAAGACAACAAGAGGCACTATGTACCCATTGTTGATTTCCTATTATTTTGTTTTGAAATCCTGTATCACTTTCCACTGTTTTGACTGGCTTTATTCTGTTTTATTTTGTTGGGTTTTATCCTCATTAAAATAGAAAAAAATATAGTTAACGTATAAATAATAAAACTTCCTTCTTTGTATTTTACTAAATTATTTTTGTAATACAATACAATAAGCCTAATTTATTAAACTAAATACACAAACTTACACATCTTGTCTTCACAGGCACACACTTCTGTAGGGTGGCTGAAATACTATTGTTGCTAACTACTGTATTTTACTTTCCAGATTGCATAAACACAAGCAACCGTATGTGTGGGTTTCTGTTTGACTCACTGCATTCTGCCCTTCCCCCTCCAGCCTTCTGTGGTCAACTACACAGTCCATGTGCAAGCACCATGCAATCATGTGGTCATAAAACTGATGCTAAAAATCTCATAATAATTTTAAAAGTTTATAATATTCCTTAGGTATGTTTTTTTTTTTTTTAAAATCCTCGGTACCAGGGATTGAACTTACGACTACCTGCTTGCAAGGCAGGTAGGTGCTTATGCTGCTGAGCTAAATCTCCAGCCCCCTTGTTTATATTATTCCTGAGGTTATATTACAAGTAGCTCATGGCTGCATAGGCCCTCAGGTTGACTCATTTGAACACTTGTGTATTTTAAGCCCTTTTGGTTTTCTGTCTGAGTGATCTTTCTGTTCCTGAAAGTAGGTCGCTGAAGTCCTCTGTTCCTTTAGGATTACCGTATATCTCTCCGTCCATGTTTATCAATATTTGTTTTATATATTTAATCGCTCCGACATGGATGTATATGTATTTATATTTGTTATATCCTCTTTTGGGGGGGGTCGAACTCACAACCTTGAGCTTGCCAGGCAGGCACTTGTGCTGCTGAGCTAAACCCCTGGCCCATAATTGGCTCTTGATCTGTTGTTTGTTTTCTAATCCAGTCAGCCACTCTGCTGTCTGACCAGAGAATTTAATCTATTTATATTCAAGCTGATTATTCACGAGTAAAGACTTCTCTTTTTTTGAGACAGGGTCTCGTTATGAGATCAGGCTGAGATACTCATATCCTAGGCAGGCCTTGAACTCTGGCCATCCTGCTGCCTCTGCCTCCCAGGTGCTGGGATTATAGGCGTGTTCCACCATGAATTGTTTTCTGATTGTTTTCTAGCCCCTTGGTTCCCTTCATCTCTCCTGTTGTTTTCCTTTGTGATTAGATGATTTTCTCTAGAAATATGCTTTGATTTCTGCTTTTTCACCTTTTGTATTTCTGATGTTTTTCCTTTGAGATTATCATGATGCTTACAAAAAACATAGATATAACAGGCTATTAAAATCTGGTGACAATATTAATCACATACAAACTCTATATTTTTATCCTCTCCTCCCTAACACTTTATGTTTTTGATGTTGTCATTTGTATCTTTTATACTGAGTTTCTTTAATACATTATTATGGCTGTGATTATTTTTACTGCTCTGCCTTCTTACTAAAGATTTAAGTGATTCATGTACCAACATTATAGTACTAAGAATATTCTGAATCTGTGTACTTACTCTTGTCAGAGAGTTTCATATTTTCATATTCCTAATCATAAAGTGGCATATTACAGAGGTCAGAAAGTCCATAAAACCAGTGTGTAGCCTAGTGAATTAATGCAAGATACTCATGGTTGTAAACACCGCTCAGGTCAAGAAACAATATTCCATAAGCTCCCATTTACCCCTTCCCAAACTCACCCTCTTTCTAATATTCCCCAAAAGTAACTATTCTGATTTTAATGGATTTTTTACTTTTTTTTTGGTCTTTTTCCTTTTTATCGGTACCAGGGATCGAACTCATGACTGCCTGCTTGCAAGGCAGGCGCTTTTGCCGCTGAGCTAAATCCCCAGCCTTTTAATGGATTTTTTAACAGTAATCACTTTTTGCTTTTCATTATATCTTCACCTTCTAGATTTGTATTCCTGAGCTTCACAGTTTAGCTCTGCTCATTTTAAACTTCATACAATCATGCTCACACTACAGATTATTTTTTATTTGACTTATTCTGATACATATTTTATTTATGACACTCATCTATGTTGTTATAGTGAGTTCTACTTCATTAATTTTCATTGTTGTAGAGTAGGGAGTGAGGCTCTTTTTCTGCACAGGGCTGGAAAGTAAACATTTTAGGTTTTATGAGCCAAAATCTATTCATCCAACAGGAGATAAAAGACATTTCCACAAAATGTTTACAGACAAAATACAAAATTTCATGATAATAATCAACTATAGCTTATTGTAGTACAAGTCTACCGATTAGAAGAACATAATTCTTTTGCTTAATTAGTATGCAGGCATCAAAGTTGACTGCAACATTCATCGCCAGCAGCCATGTGTGGTAAGATTTTTCCCAATCTCACATTTGAAAGCACTGCCGATACTCACATCAATCCAGAACGTAAGTCTTTAATTGTGCAATTTGTTACTTGGAAAGCATTTGTGGAATTCTTCTAGAGTCTTTCCTTCATATTTACCTTTTTAGCATGGTGTTACAGTGCTGATTAGTCAATACCAATTGAGAACTAGGTAGGCCTGCCTCCATAAATGGAATCTTAATTATGGAAATTTTCTTTGTACTCATTTCAAGATCTGAAGATGCTGTAAGATATTAATTTAAGATAAAAATCTTATGAAGTCTGCGGCAAAGGCTAATTTCCAAAGTCATTCAGTATTTATAGCAGGATATGTCTATGGTCATGCCACCCTGAACACGCCTGATCTAGTCTGTTAAAACATGGTGTTTTTTTTTTTCTTAGAAATAGTTCAGTCTTGGTCCCTAGCTTAAAAAATCATACTAAAACTTCACCACTCTCAATTAGCCAGTAACGCTGTGGTATGTCAAGTCAGGATATTACAGCTTCTATTTCTGATTACAAAACAAAACAAAAAAATCATGGAACTGACTATAATGAAACATAAAATAGGTGAATATATACCACTGATACAAGCCAGTTAAAGAACACGTGATAGATTCAAACATTCCCCAATGAAAAGAAGGGTGTCTACTAGAAACCTCAAGCAGATATTCTGTCAGAAATTTAGTCTTGCTTTGGGGGACCTCTGGCTTCCAAGCTATCATGCCAGCACACAGATAATTAAAGTTCTGCTGGGTTCTGTTTCTCCTGGCAAAGATCCTCAAGCCTTTGGAAGGCGAATTCCTAGCCTGTGCTCAGACTTGGCCCAATACTCCAAGAGAAGAAACTAGGTAATAGATAGTATCAGATAGGATCAGATCACTTCAGAAAGGCTTTCGTCCTAGGATTTTAATTCATCTTGCTCCCTTTATTTCCACAGGTCTCCAGTGTTTTTTAAAGTGCCTGTTATAATGTGCCCATAATTTTCCCTAATTGTGGTACCAAGAGATGAAGCATCCTACTGACACTAGTAAGGCACAAGCCTGTTTTTCTCATCAATTTCTGTTATTTTTGTTAATGATCTGCTTATTTAGGGGGTCTAATTCAGTGTTTCTTTTTCAATTTCTTTCTTTTTTTTCCCCTTTTTAAGCTTCTTGAAAAGGGTTGTTTAATCTTGTTTTCAGCTTTTCTAATAAATATGGGTTTTGAGGTTTTTTTTTTTTTTTTTTTTTTTTTTTTAACCTTGCAAGTGCGTGGTCTAACTCACGACCACGCACTTGCAAGGCAGGCACTTATGCTGCTGAGCTAAATCCCCAATCCTAATAAATATCTTTAAGGGTACAAATTTTCATGTAAGCTACTTTGGTAGTATTCTGCAAATTTGATGCATGACATTTTGGACTTTTTCAGCTCAAAATATTTTCAAGTTTCTGTATTGATTTTTTTTGTTTAATAGGTTATTTATAAATAGGTTACTAATAGGTTATTTATAGATTATTTATAAATTTATAAATATAAATCTTAATTTCCAAACAGAATGATTTCATCATGGACTCCTAGATTCACATTTTTTAAAATCAGAGAACATACTTTGTGTCATTTCAACTACAGTATTTGAAAATTGAGACTTGTTTTATTACCCAAAAAAGTCAGTTTTTGTAAATGTTCTGTATGTGCTTTCGAAGAAAATGCATTCTGAAATTGCCGGGTGTGGTATTTTATAAATGTCCATTACATTTTCCTAAAATTATGTATCTCAATTATTCCATTACTTTTTTTTTGTCTCCTCAAGCCTCAATGCTTTTCTCCAACAAGACAGCACAAAGAGAACAGAGAAGTAGAAAATGTGCTTCCAGCCTTTCCCTTTCCGTAGAAGTTTACTTTCCTTTCCACTGATTCTAGCTCTGTACCCTGGGTAATCTGATAGATAAGGTGATACGTGTTAATCATGTTACTAAGAAATTTTAACTACTTAGGGTTAAAATGCCTCCTAACTGGTAAACTGTACCTAGAATGGAAGGAATTAAAAACAAGTTATCAATGACTAACAGGAAGCTTATCAGAGATTCTGGCCTGTGGGCTGTGAGATCTGTAAACAAGGGCAGCTCCTATGCCTCTCCAGTACCAATCTCTTTTCCTCATACAGTACTTGAGCTCTGTAAATTGGGGGCCAAAGAAAGTAGTCATGTGTCCTGCATGGTAGGGCAAGAGCTCCTCTGGAAGAAAGGCATCTGATGCTGCCCTGCTAGAAACCATTTCCTATCCTATGCCTTGCTGAGTAAATCCAAGCCAAATACAGGCTATGCTAGTCACATGTGAACATTCAATAGAGCCAGTACCAAGCCCTGGTGGGCACGCAGAGGATGCTGGGTTGAACTAGGGCAGGCTCTGGTCCCCGTGCTGTGCTGATGACTGGCACAGTGCATCAGGGCATACCTTGTTCCCCTCCATCAGAACAAGCTTTTAAAAATAATGCTCACACATTCTGTAGCTTTATCTGTAATCGAGTACAGCTCTATCCTAAAGAACTCGTGGAAAGCACCTAGAGTTCTGATTTCTAGATCCCAAGAGTCCAATCAATGTGGCATCAACTCTAATTGTTTTCAGCAGTAGGTGCCCCAACCTAGATGGCATGGCCAAGGGAAATGGAAAGGCTTCATTTTCTTCAACAAGTGTTCGCGTCACCACAAAGCTGAGCAATGTCATTTCTCTTCCTCTCTCCGCTTCCTTCCTGATGGAAAACAGACTCACCTTAGCTGTCGTCCTCGTTTTCAGTTCCTTCTTCAAGAGTCTTGTCGGGGTCTGAGAGCTCACCTTGCTGTGGCTCAGCAAAGTTCTGCTGGAGCATGGTCTCTGTGTACCCGTGGAGGATCTGATGGGCTGCAAGAATATGCTTCCGCTGTGCATTCCTCACTGTTACGGAGCGACAGAAGAGTTCTTAACGTGAAAGTCTAGATGAAACTTTCCCAAATGCTTTTGAGAGGCTAGTGACAAGGACGATCGTTTGCAAACCATGTGTTTTCTGACTTTGGACTGCTTGGATTAAGTAAAAATTATCTGCTCTGTCTCTTAGGACATCTTCTAAAGGCAAACCAAACCCACAACCTCCTTCTGGCTTCTCCCTCTGTCCACTGTCTTTAGCTCAGTCCGGTTAGTGTCTCCCTTTTGGACTTGCCTCCACCCCACCTCTCAGAGCTCTTCTAAAATGCCTGAATCCTGTCCTTTTGCAAAAGCCAGCTCAAGTCCCAGACCTATAATGGGGTCAATTCACACTTACCCTCTACCATCCCCGCATTTGTATACGTTGTGCAGCATCAAAGCACTTTATGTGAGTTATGTTTCATTTCCTAACTGCATATAAGTGGTTACAAATGACTGATTACCCTAAATGAGACTCTTGTCTCATATTTCTGTTTGAACCTTACTTCCCAATATAAAGGGTTCTATTGCTGGATAATGAATGTCTGAGTTCATGGCTTTAAAAGGTGGTGTTAGCTCCAAACTCTAAGAGTATTTATCTTACTACTGTCAGTTAAACTAAGCCCTTGGAAAGGAAGGGATTGACATCGATGACTATGACCATGATGACAATGACAGTGTAATGATGACAGGAGCAGTCAGCTTTGGTCCTTGCTATATACCAGGCCCCAATTTAAGCAGCTGATATGTAATTACTCATTTAGGTCCCCCACAACCCTAAAACAGAATATTATTAGTAACCCCATTTTCAGAAGTAGGACACACATAGAGAGGCTAAGTTATCCAAAGTCATACAGCTGGTAAATGACAATACGAAGTAATATGGTCTTTTCGCTACTTGGGTCTCAACTGCTTTACGTGACTCAACTCTGAAAGCCATGGGTTTCCGTCACTAATTTGCTTAACTGAAAAATGAGAATAAACTTACAGCTGTCATAAGAAATCAAGATAATGTACATTTTCAAATGCTTAAGTGTACCGCTTAGAATGTATTGTGTATTTAAAATTTGGCAGCTACTGTTACTTTACATCTGTTTTTATGTGTCTCTTTAAGGTCTTTCTGATCCACCACCTTTTAAAAAGAGAAATCTTAAAATGGTCTAAGTACACTTTATGTTAATTTTGGATAAAGAGGAATATATATATAGAGACAGACAATTCCTATTGGGTTCCTGCTGTGTAAGTTCCTTCTCCAAATCTTTCCTCTCAAATACAGGAGGATCTAGTAAATACTAAGCCTACTATTTCCTCATCTTCTTCAATTCTCTGCAGTACAATGGTTTTGAAACAAACTGATCTAACTTTGCATCTGGGAGAAGTAGAAAAGAGTTACACATTTTCTTAAGCATCTAGAAAATAAAGTCATTTTTATAATATAAGGACATACAGAAATCTGTATTACTTCCTTGAAAATGAAACTTCGCTGGTGCAGGCCCTTTTATACACTGCTGATGGGAGTAGGAATTAGAACAATGCTTTTGTGGCACAACTGTGGTAAACTCTGTTGAAAGATAAAATACAGATTTCCTATTTGCTACTAATTGTACTGTTAGGAATTTATTCTCAAAAGCACGGGCAGGATATGTGTAAAATGTATTGAGCATAGCACTATTAAGTAATAGAAAAAAAATCTGGGAGCAAACAAGTGCCTTTCACTAGGTTGAATTGGTTTTAAAATCACACAACCTGCTGGGTGTGGTGGCACATGCCTGTGATCCCAGTCCTCAGGAGATGGAGGCAGGATCACCAGGAGTTTGAGGCCAACCTAGGCTATATAGTGGCTTCAAGGCCAGCCTGGACTACAAAGCAAGACCCCATGTCAAAAAAAAGTAGTTCTTTATTCTAACGTGTTAGATTATCCTTGTGTTAGTAATCAAATATTGCACACTTTTCTGCTTAAATCTGTTGTTCCCTATACAACCCTGAAAGCTTCTCAGCTACTCACATGAGTATTGATCTTGTCCTAAGTGTACACCTCTGTCTGGGGTCACACCTGCTGCTGACAGTCTCAGGGCTCTGGAAGAACCTTCTTTTTCTTTTTAAGACATAATTTTTCTCTTCTTCTCTATTTTATAAACACATCAATCTTTAAACTCTACTTCCCCTTGGAAAAATGATAACTTGGGGCTTTTATACTTAGATACAGTCCCAGTAGGAACATACTATTTATGATTCTGGGAGAGTTGCAGGATAGATTCAGACCCTTTGAGCATTCCCAGTTTTCAACACCCATAATTCACATGTCCTGACTGTAAAAGGCTCTGATGGCTTGAATCAGAATAAACCTCTTCTGGGAACAGATCTTGGTAATTTGTCAAGCTTGTTAGGAGCTCACCTCTTCTCTACTAGAGATTATATTCTATAATCAGACAGCAAAAAGAGAACTTGATAAGTTATGAAATAAGAAAACTCAGTCCTTAGTCATCAGAAATTTTTCCATACTTCTGTTTAGTTTTAAATCTCTGGGATACAGATACTAATTCACATCACTTAAAAATCCCAAAGTGAAGCATCTCGAAGGAGCTTACCTTTCTCTTTGATAAAGTCCTTTTGCACCTCTGGGATCAGAAAACTATAAACCAATTCAGCAACAATCTCCTCTGACTGAAGATGAGTTCGTCTAAAAAAATTTTTAAAAATTAAATGATTTCACTTTTTTCTCCCTTAAGTTGCTAATTTATACTTAGATCTTTCTTGCTTGTTTAAACAAACCCACTAAGTCCTGCTATCACGTTTTCCTTGATTGAGTGAGCTGAAATATCACATGCGTGGGTGAGCTAGTTTCAATTCCATGAAAAATCCAGATTTGACCCTGTCCTTCATTTACTAGCCTAGTAAGAAGGAATTTTAGAACTACAGCTTAGGCATAGAAGCCAAACACTTGAGGGTCAAGTCCGAGGACCGCTGGGTGCACATGTCTACACAGCGTTCCACCCTTGGCATCCTGCAGGTACACAGTATGAAAGTGATCCTGATCACAGCTAAGAATTTAATTCCCAATGCTCCTACCGTCCAGAGATATAGGCATGTCCACTTCTAAAGAGTTGCACTATTAAAACAAATGACATCAATGAGACAAATGAGTTTGTCTCTCATCAGTGGTGAAATCTTAAACTCCTGAAAACCTGGATGTGGGTAACAGCAGGTGGGCTGTCCACTATACAGGGGCATCTCTGGGTGCGCACCGACTTTCCATCTCATAAGCGATGTCATTGATTTCCTCGGCCATCTTTTCTATTTCTGCTCTGGCTTGTTCTTCGGCAGTATTCTCTTCAGTGTTCAATATTATGTCTTCCAGATAGGAGGTTACTGTACTTCGGTGAACTTTAATCACCTGCAAAAGAGCAAAACATGTCTTTACTTACTAAAAACACGGACTGTAAACAAGGTCAGAAAAACACAAACGTTGGCTGACCTTTTTTTTAAAAAAGCCTGCATGTTGCATTCAGATAGTAGCAGTCTGATACACATTTTGTCGAATAAGTGCAAAGTAAAAACTCAACCCATTTTGTCTCAGGAGTGCCCTTCGGTTCACCAGGCTCCTTCCAGGGGCACCCGCACACCCAGCTGACCCACTTGCCTCCTTAAATATCTGGTCCTCCTCCTGCAGGCGCCTCTGCTCCACCTGGCGCCGGCCGCTCTCCTCGGCCTCTCTCATCCTCCGCTGGCGCTCAGCAAGCATAGCAAAGGCATGGATGCGCCTCTCTTCCTGCAGTCTCACAAGTTCTTTGGACAGGAAATCAAGCATGTCTGCCAGCACCCTGCCTTCCAGGCCTGCCAAGTGGTTTTCAATCCGTGACACCTTTAAAAGAACAATAATGCAGTTCAAGGCTACAAATTCCACTGCAAATGGTAACTTTTGGGAGAGCTAAACTCTCAGGGTCAATTCACTGTCAAGGTGCCTTCAGTTTTTATTAGGAATACTGTCTCTCAATTTGCCCTGTCCCAAGAGTTCTAACCAGGAAAACTGATTAAAAACTTATACATGCACTCATAGATTGCTCAGGCAGTCACTAAGGGGCACAGTCCTCAAATTGTGAAGAGGATTTAGCAAAACATTTCTGTTAGTAGTCACACAAATGTACTGTTTTCTTTCACTTTTATCCAAAAGATCAAGAATGTCTTCCCAGGCATGAAGGGAAAGCTCATGGTTCTTATTAAAGATAATGTTGAAGTTTAATACATTAGAACCTCCACTCAAGATAACTTCTAATTTTTTAATGGCTGCTCTTTTCACACAAGTTTGAGGAGTTTCAAGATCTTCAGTAACACAGAAATGGGCAACTTTAATAACTTCATTAATAACCATCTTTGAGACAGTACAGGAAAAAGCCTAAATTCTATGTGATCATTGAGGTAAAGTAAGGAACCCACATTGCTCTCGGCCAGGAGTAAGCCAAGGATCTACGGGTCTCTGTGTCCTGGCTTTGATACATGAAGCAAAGTATGTAAGATGATTTATCCCGCGCACTTCATCCTGTACCTCGCCTATCTATCCTGAGGTGTAAGGAGAAAGGGCTGTCACTCCAGCTATCTGCAGCTTGAATGCTGGCCATCTCCCCTCTGCTCAGTTCCCTGTGTGTACATAGAGGGATGGAATTCTCACAGGTCTGAAGGGCAATATGGCTACTCGGTGAGACTGTCAGCCAGGTGCAGTCGTCAGCACCAACATCCTCACCCACTCCCTAGCCCACATACTTTAACCTCAATTGCACTTATATTCTAGGGAACAATGGGAGGAAGACTGAAACCAGAGCATTTCACTTCTTCACTTGGCCCAGAAATCACAAATGGATTTTTGCCCTGTCTGCAGAGATCATAAGCTCCCCCAAGGGATAGTCATAATCCTTCAGGCACTGGAAATGGGGTGTGGTGGCTCATGACTATACTCCCAGACTCAGGAGGCTGAAGCAGGAGGATTCCCTCAAGTTTAAAGATTGTGTCTCAAAAAAGCCAACCCACCAAACAACCCTTCAGGTCCTAAGTTGGCTACGTATTCATTTCCAGCTTTCTTCCTCAAAGACTTTGGGGACAATCTAATTTGAAATTAAATAAACACATTTAGAAAGGTGATTTCCCCACAGCTATGTCTTGTAATGCATCACATACCTGGGCACTGTGTATCGGCTGGATGGTTTCTTTCAGAAACAGGACAGAAAAGAGGGAGGGTGAGCATCGCTTTGAATATAAGTGATGCTCCCTCTCCCTCAGACACCTGCAGATCATGGAGGTACTTGGCCAGACCTGAAGCAAGTGGTCATTGCCTAAGTTACAGCTTTGTACATCCACTCCTCCCATCACTCTCAGTTGACATGATCATGGGACAAGCACTGATGTTTTAAAATAAATCTCATTTCTCACTTTGTCATGTTGTTTTTATTACTTATTCATTCTGCTAAAAGTCCTTAATAATTAGAATGCAATAGAGTTAAGAAGAATTAGATCGCTTATGGACCGCAGCAGCATTAAGCATGCTGGTCACAGTCCTGGGAGTCTGGAGACTTTTAAATCGTCTAATTCATTGTTACTATAATGTTGCTCGTAGGAATAAAACAAGAACAAGAAGGGAAATGTAACCAAAGGGAAAACGAGAACCTTGTGCTCGTGCAAGTTCCTCTGCCGCTGTAAGGCCAGGGTCACTTGCTTCTCGGCCTTTTTCACCAGCTTCTCATCTTCTTGCAATGCGTGGCTGGTGCGCAGTTCCTGGATCAACTCCAACCGCTTTTCTTTCCCTTCAAACATCTGTAGCAAATAAGACAGACTTGCAGGTTACTCCCCTTTGTGTGAAGCACTAGGAGTCATGCACTGCAATTTGTGCAGGCGCGTATCTGTCCTGCTTTGAAGGCTCACGGGCAGGCGTGCTTCAGGTGCTAGAATTCTGCCCTTTCCTGTACCGTCAGCTCAGCAATGGGGCTCAGTTTCCAGTGAGCTGTAGGTTCGGGTTCTCAAAATGCCTCTTAGAGACAAGGTGACTCCCATAAGATCATATTAAGAAACTAAAACTTTCCCTGCAATTTCTTGTGGTCCTTCCCTAAAAATCCCAGGGCATGGCTTCTGTCATGGCAGTGGTTCTGTTTCCATAAATGTGCCACTGGGCTGTAACATACAGTCTGCTATCTGAACTTCACTGGGTGTTCCACTGGAAAAACAGGGAAAAAAGTTCAAGAAGGCAAGTCAGGCACAAGCTGTTGCTTCCCTAGATCACCAGACTTACACATCACAACTGAGGCACTTAAGAATTACAGCAGTGTTTTAGCTCAGCGGCGTAAGCACCTGCCTTGCAAGCAGGCAGTCATGAGTTCGATTCCTGGTACTGATAAAAAATGAAAGAGACAAAAAAAAAAAAAAAAAAAAAGAATTACAGCAGTGTGGAAACCATGAACTGGGGCCGTGTACCAGTGCATTCTTAAAGTGAAGTGTGCCTGGCTAAGGCTTTACAGTCAGGAAAACCAGAGTCAGATTTGCTGGCAATTAAGTAAGCCTCTTTCAGACTCATTATTTGCCCAAAAGACAGGTTTCTTATTTAAAAATTAAAATGAGGAAATGTATGTAGAACAAAGAATATTTGATATGAGAATATAATAGGGGTCTTAAATCACACTTATAACTATTTCATTTTATGATACAGGTACAGCTACCTGTACACAAACTCAAATAATTATCCTGTGTCTTGAAAAATTAGAGCATTCACTTGGTTTGTCATACTTTAATAGCAGAAATTCAGGTGAGAAAATCTGTGGAGTAATTCTGAGGAAGAAATAAGTTTTACACCACCTTAGTCAGAAATGTGGCAAGCTGCACCTGTCCTTCCTCTCCCCTTCCTTTAACTGAGCTCCCCACCTGGATAGTCATGGCCCCAGAAGTGTGTGGATGATTCAAAGGTAGAGCTGCCTAGGGAGCAGGGTGCAAGAGGAACGTCACCCTGACAAACCAAGAACATATGCATTCCAATAACTATTCTCAGACAAAAGACACAGGGCCAGTGGTTGGCCCTACATACCATGTTCTGAATGACCCTGCCACGCAGTAACTTCTGAAGGTAGATCACAGCCATTTCTATGTCTTCTTCTTCCTGAAGAACAGAGGAAGAAACAAGCAGCTTGAGAACAGCATCAGACTAAGCATCAAGTATTTTCTCAAAATTTATTCCAAGCAAAAGTGACAGTTTCAGACACATGCGATGAATCGGAAGAGAAATAAACCAATGTCTCTGCCCTTGTTGAACACATAGTATTTTAAATACTATTTATTGCTCATTAAAATGTCTTAATGTTTTTCATCATAAATAATATATCATTACCATGTGACACTAAGGTTTAAAAAAGTCATAGGACTGCCATGTGATCCCTACAAAGGATGCCATTTCCACCATCTTTCTTGAAGGCAACTTGCTTGCTTATAATATCCTTTTAGCAAAGGTATTTTCATGTTCAGTCATAAATCAGCAAACAATACAGCTAGTCCATTATTAGAATGAGATATTCTCACAAGAGTTTGGTAAAAATCAAAATAACCTGGGAAGACTAACCATCTATAAAACCACCATAAATAACTGTCACAGCAGAAAGAGTATGCTCTGGAAATCAAATGAAGGCCCCTCTGGGTCTAAGGAAGCAACAGCCCAGTGATGGCTTCAGCCCTTGTGAAAGGTAATGTGTAACCAGAGCCCTGTGTGGAGCCTAGGAAAAGGGCACAGTCTAGCTGGGTAGAGGGGGCACCTGTGTCTGTTCTCATGAGCCACTCATCTGAGGTCGCAGCAGGTGTTAATGAGATCCCTCCTTGACATCCTGGCCCTGGCCTGGCAAAGACCAGCATCCAGGGCAGAGATTTGCTGCTTCCTAGGAGGCCTGTCCTCCGCAGGAGTTCTTTCCTGCATCCACCAGCCATTCTAGTTCTCTTCATGAAGCAGCGACTTTGCACCATGGCATCTGCCAACAGTTTCCTGTAGGTTTGTTCAGTATGAGTCCAGCTGAAATTCTAACCAAGCCTGATGCTTTGCCCAAACTGAGGTGATGAGTGGCCTTAGTCAGGGTAATCCTTGAGCCATTCTTTGCCCAGATGCCAGCCTGTCTTGACACCACCGGCATTTTGTTCTCTTTGATGCCTACAGTCATCAACTACTCCCGGTATGGACCACAGTCATCAACGGGCCCCAGTGTGGAAAGACAGGATGTAACTGTCCTCTTCTTTTCCTATTTGGCATATGTGACATTACCTTCTGATGCCGACCTCCCCAGTGAAGATTGTTCTTTCTTTGTGTTTTTATTCTTCAAAAGCCTGAGATAGATTTCACTTCATTTTGCTCGTGTGTGTGTGTGTGTGTGTGTGTGTTCGATGTTTAGTGCATAAGAACAAAGACAAAATCAATTCTGAATCAGAGCTTGAGAAGTGAACAATGTTAAATTAGACTTTTTTTCAACCCAAACTATTTTAAGAGTGAACTGACCACAACATTGAATTTAGCTCTTCAAATAAAAGTTTCAAACTTACATTGGAAGTCATTATCAAGGTTGGAGTTGGAAGCCGAGGCTCAGGTATGGGCTTCTTTTGAAGAAAGCGTAGAGGTTTCTCTGCTTCAAGAACTTTATTTTTCTTATACAACAAGGCCTGAAACAATATCAGAAAACGTCACCTTGTATCTTTGTCTTTTCTTCCACTACCAGAGCTGGCTTGCAGACCAGAAGTGATATGTATCTCTGTGCTAAACTATGTCAGCAGTATGACACTCCTCAGGACACCTTAAGCACTGGATAAATACAGTACACATTCTGAGTATATTCATTTTCATCAAAATCTGGTGAAATTTAAATATTTTGTTGGAATTATTTCTGTCTTGCTTGTATACATAAAACCTCTAACTCCCATTTTTTCATATGAGCCAATTTGCTTGCTTGCTTGCTTATTTATTTATTTATATTTTGGTACCAGGAATTGAACTTGTTCTCAGCAGGCAGGCACTTGTGCAACGGAGCTATATCCCCACCCTCCTCTCTTAAATGAATGTCTGCACAACAGGAAATTTTCCTATGCAGCAAAAGACTGAAACACGTTGGATGTTATATCACCAAAGGGGAGCAGAAGAGCACTAAATGGCAATTATCTCAAAGTAGAGATTTTTTCTTTTTGAAGTCTGCATATCCAGATTTTTTAAAAAATTAATTTGTCAGCTAATGAATTTATGTGTGTGCTTGATTTGCATCTTCTTTTTTTTTTTTTAATCACTAAAAGTCTTGCCAAAATTTCACATGAGATTTTGATCACTGAGACTTCTGGAAAGATGCTGGAGCAGTAAGCAGCACAGAAAACAGAGTCACTGTCCAGATGCTGGAATATAGCATTGTGAGGAAGACAAGAGGAAAGAAAGTGAGTTCTGCGGACCCAGGAAGAATCTGAAGAGTGAATTGAAGCTCACAAAGAGAGTAAAAAGAAAAACTTCAAGGAAGACCAAGGTGGTAGCCGGCGGTGCCTTTGCCCTGAGAGAGGACTCCCTCTCCCTGAGACAGGACTCACTGGGTGAGAGTGGCTGTTTGAACCTAGGGTCACAGTGACAGAGACAATGGTGAGGGCTAGCAACCGCAGAGGCCTCTGCAGAGAATGCAGCAGTGGAGTGGAGCGGCAGACATGGAGGACTGCACTGGCTGGCGGTGAGGACAGAGGACTCAGTGCTCCCATGAGAAAGAGCGCTCAGCCGCGAGCCATTTTAGAGATGGGCCGGGTAAGCCCAGAACCCAGAACTGCTGCTGGCTTTGTCTAGCAGTTCCCAGCTGGGTGCCACCGTGGACTGCAGTGAGCCCAATGAGTCTGGTCTCAGGGCAGGCCTGCTGAGGTTACTACTCCTTGGCCATAAAGCAACTGCTGGCTGGCCGGGGTAGAATGGCATGATTCAAGACTCTGTCTCCACCGCTTGTCTACTAGTGAACCCAGAAACAATCCTGGAGTGGACTACTTTTCTTTTTTTCTCTCTCTCTCTTTCTCCTTGTTTTTATACGAGTGTGACAGTGGTTCCTATCCTTTGTGTGGGTGTAGTTCTGTTCTATTCTTCCTTTTATCTTGTCCGTCTCTCTTTTCCTTCAATCTTCTGTACCAGTTTCCCCAAGTTGGTGTGATCCCCCTTTGTCCTCCAACCTTACTTCTAATCTCTTTCTTTTCTTCCTCTTCTCTATTTTCTCTTTAATCCATTTTAAATTTTAACCCTCAAGGGCAAACCTGAAACATTATGGACTTATATATTGCATATAATTATCTGGTTAATTTTACATTTTGTTATACAAACACAAATCTGGCTTGTACAGTTAAAAGTTGCAAAGTAAGGGTTACCTCAGTTTATTGCTTTCTAGGCTGTGTTTGATGCTACTGATACCACTATAGTGAAAATTAACATAATTGTCCTAAACAGCTGTGGGTCCTGATAATCCATGACTGAGATTAACTAAGGATCACAGAAAATACTGTGGCACAGTGCCAAAGAACAGGGTCTAGGCCAAACAAGCAACAATCTCTCATCGCCAACAAACCAAAGAAGTAAGATCTTCCAACAGACTTAAAATCCAAAATCCAGCTACACCTGGAAGATACCTTAGAGAATTAATCATCACCTAAGGGTCCTAAATACTACCAATAAAGCAACCCACCATAGGCAACTTGAAAGTATCACCCAGGAATTAAATTTTTTTTTGTCTTTTTCTTTTTTATTGGTACCGGGGTTCGAACTCACGACTGCCTGCTTACAAGGCAGGCGCTTATGCTGCTGAGCTAAATCCCCAGCCCCGAATTAAATTTTAAAAAGAGATAAAATAAAATGAGACCACATTTAAGCAAAATGTAACCCCAGATCTTCAGTTCACCAAAGGCAACTCCAAAGGACAATGAGATGGGACAATCAGAAAGCCATCCACCAGGTCTCTCTGAAGTGGTAACAAAAAACCAATTGAATGAGGTTCTAGAAAAAATGAAATCAGAAACAATCTCTCAGATAACTACAGAGATTACTAAAATACACCCCACACTTAGTGATGAACAGACACAGACAAAAAATAGACGAGCTTAAGAAAATTATGGAAGATCAGCATAGGAAAGAAATGGAATCTATAAAGCAAATTCAAGCAGATATCCAAGAGAACAAAAACTCCACTGAAAGTACTCAAAGAAGATTAGGCCAGCTGTTATCGGAACATGGCGGACAGACAGCAGCAGCTACTGAAGGCTCTCTGAAAAACTCGGCTCAGAGGCCAGGAATGATGCGGACTAAGGAGATACGAACCAGTAGAGATGTGCTCTGCTGACTCAGGAACGAACTGGGCTGAGAGAATCCAACTTAGAATGCGGTCCTGGCGCTAAAATAGGAACAGAGAAGTCTCGGTGTGGAGGCTCGACCGCGCGCCATTGGAAACCGCGATTTGGGTTTCCCGCCGCCCGGCGGCTGGCTGCCTCCACAGCGGCTCGGCAAGGAGAGACGCGCCCCCCGAGCTCTGGGAACGGGAGTCAGCGAACGGAGTTCCCGCACCATTGGAAACCACGGTTCCTGCCGCCCGGCGGCTGGCTGCCTCCACAGCGGCTCGGCAAGGAGAGACGTGCCCGCCGAGCTCTGGGAACGGGAGTCTGCGAACGGAGTCGGAAACAGGGCGGACAAGGAGCTGAACTGACTGGTGGCGAGGTGAGCGAGAAACTGTCTCCCTACCACAGTTTGACTCCAGCGGAGGTTTTTCTGGGCTCGGGCAGTCCTGTAAGAGCAGGGCGCGGTGGCAACTGCAACCGCACATTCCCCTCTCGGACGGGATTGGTGAAAGGTGCCTGGCCTGAGTGACGCTGCTGGCGGACTCCCTAGGCTGGCCTAACCCAGATCCCAGAGCCTGACGGTGGCCCGGAGGAGCGACCGACTCCCGCGTAGGCTGCCTCCTCCGCGACTCCCTGGGGCGCAGCGGTGGGCGGGAACAACTAGCCAGCACAATTTGATCAGGCTGTGGCTGACAGGCAGGGAAGCCTGGCCTCCTATGTAAGATTGCATTTTATAAGGAACAGAAAATATGGGGAAGGGAAGCAACAAAAAAGGCTCCTTGGCCCCCAATCCTGAGAATCAGGCAATAATGGACACCGCACCAATATACATTAAGCGCCATCTAGAGAGCCTCATAGACCAATTCAGGAATGAAGTTATCAATGACCTGAAGCTAGAAGTATGCAGAATAGTTAGAGAAATGCTAAGCACCACCCAGGAAAAAGCAGATGGTGGAATGGAAGAACAGAAAAAGAGGGGAGAATTACTTGATGGAGAAAACAGAGAAAACATTGAGTATGTGAAGCAGGTTCAAAGGGACTATCAAGAAATTAAGAAGTCTATCCAAGACTGGCATAACAGCTTGAAAGAAACTAAGGACAGACTATCTGAACTGGAGGGCAGACTTGAAACATGGGAGAATGAAATGAAAAACTTCTTAAAAATAACAAAGAAACAAACAGCAATAATACAAAGACAAGAAGATGATAAGAGGAGCCATAACTTAAGGATTAAGAACATAAAAGAAGAAGTAGAGACACAAACAAGTGAACTACAAAAGCTACTCACAGAAATAATCCAGGAGAATTTTCCTAATTTAGCAAAAGGTAAAGATACTCAGATGTATGAGGCATACAGGACCCCAGCTACCTACAACCCTAACAGAGAAACACCCAGGCATATAATAATAAAAATTCCAGAAATTCAATACAAGAACAGAATAATAAAAGCTGTAAGAGACAAGAAACAGATCACTTACAAGGGAATACCCATGAGAATTACAGCAGATTTCTCTTCACAAACCATCAAATCATGAAGAGCGTGGGGGGAAATAATTCAAGCATTGAAAGATAATAATCTCCAGCCAAGATTGAGATATCCTGCACAACTGTCCCTGGAAATTGATGGAAAAACGAGGTGCTTCCAGGATAAAGAGAAACTGGGGGAATTTGCAACCACCAATTCAACCCTACAGAAAGTATTGCAGGATATTCTAAAAAAAGAAAAATACAAAGAACCCAGAAATAGTGGCGGGGAGGCCACAACGAATGGAGCAGAGAACAAAATGAAGATAACAAACTGACAGCTACTGACAGAAAAAGAGCTCAACAGAAATGAGACAGAGAAGATTGGATGATAGGAACAGCTTTTTTTGGAGAAAATGACATCTTAATAGGTAATGCTGATTTAGTACCATCTTGTTTTGAAGTCTCATCTAGCTTTTGTTCTTCTGTCTCCAATGGTCTAAACAGGTTGTATCTTATTGGATTTTGTTATGTACGATAATATAAGCAAAAACCTTTTAAAGACAAGGAGATTATACAGAGACCATTGTTCATTTTCTGTTAGTCGATTCTAAATGCTCTATAATGCTGTCATTCTCTTAAATGGTTTTACATTGTTTTGATATACTTAATGCTACAGTATATGAAGTTGTACTCAAGGACTTCAGGGAGGGAGTCAATATGGTAACTATTTGTGGGTCAGGATTATCTGGTGGTGAAACACTATTCTGTTTAAATGGTTATGTTTTGATCTGCCCTGTTTCGCTGTTATGCCCTCTTTTTTCTCAATCTCCACTCCATTATTTACTTTTTTATTTTTATCCATTTAA